TCTTTTTGGGAATAAAGCTTACAAAGCCTTTGTAAAGCTTTCTTTTGTTATAACATGGCTGTGCTCCATTTAAAAATAGTGAATTGCATTTTAAATGCTTGAAAAATAAGTAGAAAGTGCATCTTATATTTCTTTAATCATTTAATCTTACCAATTATATTGAGCAAATGCATTCAGCCAATCAGATTCTACTAAATATCCTTTTTTATGAGAATCAAGATCAGAAAATATTTCATAAACTAATTTTTCAGTTAAATCAAATCCTTAAAGTACATTCTTTTCATCAATCCATTTTTTAAATTTTTAGAATACTAATTTCTTACGATATCCAGAAACTATATCAAATGATTCTTTTACACTTGGATAATGTCTACTAATTATTAATCCTATCTATTATCTAGCATTCATTTTCCAATCAAAAGAAGATCTTGATTCTTATTATTACTTTGCAGACAAATTTGTTGTTTATCCAAATACTTATTTATTTTTACCATAAAAAAATCCTTCTTCTACAAATCTTCTAAAATCCATTAAAGTAATTTTTCCTCTTTTATATTAATCCATTAATTTAAATAATCTATTAATTTTAGCTTCTGTAATTTCTTTTTCTTCAATTTTCAAAATATCTTTTAGATAAGTTCTTAAATCAGCTTTATTTATTTAACCATCAAAATCTTTATCAAATGTTCTAAAGGCATCTTCAACAGTTATATTCTCTCTTTAACACCAATTTCTTATCTTGAATAGGATTTCCAATTCCCAATCCCAATCATCTTCTGATAAAGATGGCATTTATTAAATAATTGATTTACTCAAAAATTTAACAAAAGTATTTAGATCAATTAAACCAATTTTCTATTTATCCATAAAAGCAAAGAATCCATCTTTAGCAGGTTAACTTAGAGTCATAATTTTATCTATATTATAAAATTCACTAATTGATAAGAATCCATTATGATCAGTATCTAAGAATGTAAAAAGTTCTTCATATGACATTCCCTTTCTATTTAATTTTATTCTTAAATCTTTAAGTATTTAATCAAATTTAGATTCTGGTAATTCTTCAACAGGAAATAAACTTTTTGATTAATTCATTCCATCAACTAAAGATTAAAACATTTTCTTTTGTCCCATAGTAACTAAATCTATAGATTTAGATTAAACACAAGTATTTTCAATTGCTGATAAATTATCTCCAAATTAAGGTTTAATCTTTAAACTTTCAACAATTTATTCAATTTAAGATTAATCTTTTCTAACATTAAAATATGAATATCTTTTTATAAATGTATTCATATCTTCATCACTAACAACACCATTTCCATCAACATCCATTTCTCTACAATATTCTAAACATTCATCATGAGATAATTAAGTAAATAGATTCTTTTCTAAATATTAAGCAGAAGACTCTATATTGCATGAACCATATCCTGATTTTACTTATTATAAAAATTATATAACAGTGAATTTTTTTTAAGTTAAATATTTACTTATTTTTTATGCAAAATCAACTAGATCTTTAGCTGTATCCTTCTAATCCATTTATTTATTAACATCCATAATCATTTAAATAAAATCATAGTAATTTATTAATGAATCTCTATTCTTTGGAAGATAACGAACTAATCTATTTATATCTTAAACATTTAATCCCAATTAACTTTCCATTAAGACAGTTTTAAAATTAGCAGTATCTAGATTACCTTCTTAATGTTCATCAAAATATTCAAAGGAAGATCTTAAAACCTTCATTTTTTAAGGATCAACTAAATGATCTCTCATTTTATGCAATGTATCTTTAAACCATGATAAATCATAAATTTTGTCATCTTCTTCAACAGTATTAAATAATGCTAATAAATCATTCATACTGATGGTTTCTTTTCCATCTAAAATTTCTTTAGCCACTTTAAGGGCTTTGTGTTAATTTAGAGATTCATCTAAATGCATTAGAGCAAATTTTAATTATTACAAATTAACAGGAGGATGATCACGATGTAAATTCATTCTCTATAATAAATCATCTGTATGAATTTAGAATTTATATACAACATCCTTTATATAATTTACATGAGTTTCTATTCAATTAATATTTATAATACTTACTTTTATCAACAATAGCTTTAAGCCAATCAAATTTATCAATAAAACCATCATTATTAACATCTAAAGTCTAAAATAAAGTAATTATTTATATTTCATTAAGAGGTAAATCTATTTTAATTATAGCCCTCTTAAAATCATCAAAATTCATTCTAATTTTTCTTTCACTTGTTTTACCAAATGCCTATTAACATAAATCTAAAAATGACTAATTAATATTATTTATTCTAATATTACATCTTCAATATTTAATGCATGATCCCTTATGTAATATTTTAATCTTTCTAATGCATGCACTTTATCATTAACAGATCTTTGAAATCCCATTCTAGAAATCTATTAAGTTGATGGTCTTAATTCTATCTAAAAATATTATTGATCATTTTAATATTACAGTTTTACTCATAAGACCCCCTTTTTTAGATTAAACTTAAGAATTCTTTGCAGTTTTTGGTCGTGCATCAGGTAATTCAATCCCAAGAGAATTAGTTAAATAATTCCTTGCACCATCATCAATCATCAAATTGTTTTCTTCAGGATGCTGACTCTTGCTCAATTATTGCAGGTATTACTATGTCAAACGCATGTCTCCTTTCGATTTTCTTTCAGACAATGGTCTTTTTGTTATTTCCTATAAACAAATATTGATCCAATATTTTACTTTACAACTATCCATTAGTGAATCTAAAAATTGTACAGCAGCACAATGGGATTTAACAAAGAATGTCCCCACACATGGTATTTCAACTTCAACAACATCCCTCTAAATTCATTTATAAGTTTATATACATTGCGTACTATATCAGATAATGATTTAATGACTCTTTCAACAGCCATTTTAGCTGAATCCTTATTTTAAGATGCATACAATGCTATTTCAGCCCAATTTACAATTGCATGCTATATCTTACCAGATGTCTAAACTTTATAAGGTCTTAATTATCGACCTATAGCTATGGCAGTTTTTAGGTTGAATCCATTTACAAATTCCTTACATTAAATTAATCGACTACCTTTGCAACAAGAAAAACTGGTTAACGTGGCTACTTATCTCTTTCTACTGGATTGGTAACTCCATCTAATATAACATCTGGAGCACTAAAAGAAAATGTTCCAAATTTGTTCATTGCTACACCTCTACCCATTCGTAATTATCTTGAAACATGAAGGCCTTCACAATACAAAATTTATAATTACCGAATGCATTCCAAGCAGCAGAGACAGTTTCCTCATCCAAAGCCGCTATCAATGAGCCATTGCTTATAAATAACTCTACTTGCTTACTCTGCTTATCCATTTCGAGTGGCTATTTTAGAGATTATTGACTATGCATTCATGGTTGCCTTGCTTTAATAACTATCAATGCTATTCATTTATAATTAATTTATTAATAATGTTATCTTATATATGAATTTATATCTAATCTCAACTTTCCTCAATCTAAATATTCAATTTATACATACATTGTTCTATGTTTTATTGTATTAATTCTTAGAATACTAATTTTAAATCAATTTCTTAAGTCTTATATTATATATATATATATTACATTCTATAACCAAAACTTGTATTGAATCTAATTTATAATATACTTATTAATAAATCTACTTTATTTAACTGTAATTAAAATTACAATATTTTTCATTTCTTCCAAAATATATCAAAAAGTGTAGTTTCAAAAAATTACAGTATTTAATAATTTGATCAAACTATTTTAAACAATTATTCAATCAATTTGTTGTTCCTGATTCTATTAAATAATCAAATATATACTTTGAAAAAAGATTTGACAAGTTTAATCGTTACTATTATTTTATACTTTTTCAAATAAAATTATGTTGGTGTCAAAATTGATTTATCATTAATTGATTAATCCTAGGAAAAGATTGAATTACCTCTAGTGTGTAAAACTTCTTAAACTAAGTCATATATTTAGTATATAAAAAAAGAAAACAATAAGAATAAATCAATAGACAAACAAAAAGAAGGCTTATCTATTTAAAAGTAAAGAATATATTTAAGATTATAAAAATATCCATTTTTTCTTAATATTTTATATCAAAAATCTTTCTTTTGCTTTAATAATTATTAATAAATATTTTAATTTTTTGCATTATTTAAAGAAATCTTTAATATTAATCAAAAAATTTTTAATCAAATAATATTTAAACAATTTTATTAAAATGAAATTTAATGAACTTTAAAATACAATATTATAAATTCTAAATAGGCTATTAAGAATAGATTTTTTAAGACATGTAAATTTATCAATTTTCCAATGCTAAAATCTTATTATTGTAAAATAAAAAATAAATTATTTTATTGATAGTAATTTTTTGCTTCTTCAAATTGACTCATAAATCTTAAAGAGTAATAGAAATTAAATATTATGCTTTTTATTTTTAAATTTTGAATTATAGACTAAAATTAAAAATATTAAGTTTAATTTTTATCAAAACTTTGAACTTTTGTTTAGAATTGATTTAATTTAAAAATATGAAATTAAGAGTAACTGTAATTGATTAAGGATAAAATTAAACACTCTTGAATTTCAAATACAATTTGCTATTCCAAAATAATTTCTGATGAAAATCATATGATTTTCTAAATTGTAAATTAATCTTATAGTTAATTAAAACTTAAACATTTTTAAATTAGAATTTAGTATCAAATTTAGTTAATTCTAAATTTAAACATCATATTTATATTATAACTATATCTTATTTATTTTTGCATTTCTTCAAAACTTAAAAGGATTATATTAGAAATAAGAAATTAACATTTATAAGTTTCTATGAATTCTGATCTATACACCCTAATTTATTGACAATTTTGAGTAGTTTTTACAATATAGAATAATTATCGACAGTTTTTTTATATATTAAATTAATTTAATGGCTTTAAAAAATATTATTGATTTGACTGATGGAGTTATTTTAAGATACATATGCACTTCTAATGACTCTAGAATAGATATAAATATATTTATTGGTATTGTTTGCAGACTTACAATTTTTACTATTTTGATAATATTCAAGGATATAAAATAATATTCTATTGGTGAACTTATTGTTTGGTTTATAGTGTGGCTAGTTTAACATATATATATATTGTGTATTGAGAAAAATTATATTATACTAGGTGAATCTAAAGTTCTTAGAAGAGAAATAGAATATAAAATTATGGATTCTTTACAATTATTAATAGGAATAATATTTTTATCATTGAACTTAAATTCATATATAGAAATATTAATCTTAGTTTTATTTTCAATATATTTTTTATTGAATTTCTATATAATAATCTTTAAAATAAAAATAAAAGAAGGTTATACAGAGAATTTTTAAAAGTAAGGTGGTGTTTATTAATTTTATATTGGATTTTTATTTGGGGCTGTATGTATTACTTTTATATTATATCATTTGGAGGGTAATATTTAAAATATTAAAATACTTTGAGTGATATTTTGATTATAACAATGATTGGTTAATTTATATTAGTAGTATTTTCATTTATAATATTTTGTCGTCATAAATCGAAATTCTTGTGGAGCAATGATTTGGCAAAAGGCATATTAGGAATTTTCTATGGAATTAAAGTAGGAATTTTCAGTATCTTTTATGGATTTATTGTTGGCTGTCTTTTAATCATATGGTACATTTGGGAATTTTGTTTAAAAAAATATTACATAGTCAAAAAAAAGAAAAGGTAGGAAACAGAAGAAATATGATTTATTATTAGTAAAATTAATTATTTATATATTGAATTAAATAGTCTTATGTTTAATTAAAGATAATTATATGTAAAAATTTATCATATATCTATATTAATTTATCTATTATTAAGATATTTTATTATATATATTCACTAATATTTAATTTAGCAATTTATTGAGCTTGATAATACTTATATGACTTTGATATTTCTTGATTCTATTCAATAATTTTTGATTTTAATTTTAAGGATATTAATGTTTATATAATATTACCTTAAAATTGAATTATAATAGAACATATAAATATATATAATATTGAAAATTATTATTAATGTTTTAAAATATCTTGTATTAAATATTTCATATCTTGTCTTTATCCTATGTAATTTGTATCATTGGTTATAATTATACAAAATTATGGTTGTTACATTTAGTGCATCTGATGACAGATGATACTTTATAATTATATTATTTATTTACTTCCTTTTTGATATTTAACTGTCACATTACAATGAGCACACTTAATAAATTCATAAGTTGCTTATTAAACTTGTCTACATTGATAACACATGAATGGCTTTTAGTCATTAGATATAGTTTATGGAGTCTTACAAAATATACAAACTGCATAATGAGTTCTAGAATTTGAAAATTAATAATTACAACATATTTTATTTTTTGTTTAACTACTATTTGTTATATTATTAGTAATTATTGTGTATATTTGGTTGAACAACTTATTATTACTAATTCTAATTTAATTACTAATGTCAAAATAAGCTAATGATACCTATATTTGATAATTAGGTAGTTGATTATAATTGAATATATATGGTTATGTTTATTTATACATCTCTTGTTTTTGTTTGGTTTAGTTGCAAGTTTCTTAAAATAATAATTTTAAATTACATTCATTAGTTAGTAAAACATAGCTTTGTTGTTCTGTCATATCTTACATTTCTATAGAGTAATCTTTTTAAGGTTCTTAATATTTTTTGCTTGATTGATTTGATAAAAGTCCTGTTTGATTTTAAGAAAAGCCTTGATCCATATTAATAAATTAATTAGAATATTAAGATTATATTTTTTAGAATATAATAATTTAAATCATTTTTTCCCTTGTTAAGGGATTAAGAACTCTGATAAAAAGTCTTATTCTTATTGTTTAGTTAGATTTAATTTTGATTAAGCTGATTAATTTTAAAGTCCTTAAGGTTATTGAAAATGCTATTTTTATTATACTTCAAATTGATATTATTAATTTTAATAATCCTATTCCTAATAATCTTATCCCAAATATTGATCAAATTTTTATTAATCATTGTAATCATATTATTCATTTTCAATATTTTATATATCTTTCAATGGAACATTACTGACTTATTATCTAAATCCCTATAATATTGAATTTAAATAATACTTATAATTATTGCATTAGTCGTTAATTTTCTTCCCTTAGTTTTTTTTTTTCATCTGTAAAATAATTAGGATACACCTTAATTAAATAATCATTATAATTGATTTTTTCAATATTAGTTTTTTGAATTGCTTATTTTAATCTAACACTTCCATCTTCATATCTCTTAAATAAATTTGCTATTTATTCTCTAAATTCTTAATTTCTTGTCTCAGCCAAAGGTCTATAATTATTGCAAAACTGAATACCTGGTTCTTTTTATAGTTTCAACTTCTCTTTACAAACTAGATAAATAATTTTAAGCAGCTTTCTAATATAATTAATTTCGTTCTGCCATTTTATCTCTAATATTTTATCTATCCCTTCGACTATTATTGATCATAAATTATATATTACAATCTTTCAAGTGATTCATCAATAGACTCTTAATTCATTTTGAACTTATCGTATATTTATTTATTAAAAAATTAAATTTCAATTATCAAATAAATGTGATCCAAAAAAGAACTCTAAGAATTGATTAATATTGATATTCAAAACTAGTATAATTTCAATTTTTAATCTATAAATAATAATTATTAAAAACTAATCATTATTTCTTTAATAAAAATACTTAAAAAGATAAAGATATTAGAAAATAAAAAATTGTCATATAATAAAATAATTGTATTAAAAACAATCAGTTAAATTATTATCATTTTTAAATAAAATTAATAAGTATCTTTACTCTATACTTTTAATTATTATGAACCAAAATACTCAAAAATTTTCACATATATTATTTTTTTTATAATTTAGGTAAAATAAAAAATTAAATAGATAGATATTTAATAATTTATTCAAAATTGATTTTAGGTTCATTTATTAGTTAATATATATTTGAATTACCTGATAAAGAGTTGAAAAAAGATTCATCTAACTAGATTTATTGATTATTTATATATATTTAAAAAAAATCAATTATTTTATTTACTTTATAGCATGATTAAGTGATACATTTAATTTATATTATGTAAATTTAGATCTTTGATGGCAAGATTTAAGCATTAAATAAATAGTAGTTTTTTTGTTTTTAAGTATATACTGAACGGTTAAAATATCTTCTTCAATAACATTTAATTACGCTTCTTAATTAATTGAAATTTAGATAATGGAAGTTTCAACAGATATTCTTTTAAAGAATTGCAATCAACGTTGAAATATTCTTAAATTATTTTTGGATCTAAATTAATTATATTATTTTTTATAACTATATGTATTATTCAATTAATCAAATAGTATTTTGAGATGCAAAGAAAATTAGTAAAATTCATTAATAAAAAGATCATGTTAAATTGGTAAAATTCACAAACATTTTATTTATATTATGAATTTTAGATTTATAAAATAATATTTCCTAACAATATTGAAAGATTTTAATAAAACTTTGATTTAGAATTATATAACACTATCTAATTAAAGTATCTTATTAGGAAATTAAAAATAACCTTTAAGTTTTGTGTTTAATATGTTAATTTATATTAATTTTGTCATTATTTAAGCAATAGTATAATTAAGATGTCAATAGAAATATTGACTTATTTGATATAGTTATAGCTCTTATCAATGAATATTAATCATATAAAATATAAAATTTGAAATGTTTTTAAAAATGTAGTTTTTTTCAGTTGAAAATTGATCTATTTTATTCAATGAAGGGATTAAAATTGTAAACTATAGGGATTTAAGTAGTATATGTTGGAACCTAATTGATTAATGAGTTGATCCATATAATTTAATTAAATTAATGAACTAAGATCATGTTAGTTAATATACTTAGAGCCAAACTCCTCATAATTAAGATATAAACCCTTAGTTGTCAAGTAATTAATCATTGCATATCATGGTAGAATATTAATAAATAAAATGAAGAACCCAGAACAATTATAACTAATTTAAGAAATTGATGAGGAATAATAATAACCTTAGAAACAAAGACCAAGTCTTAGCATAGATTCAGACAAAGAGGGAACTGGGATTCAACAGATTAAATAACGACCATCTAGTTCTAGTCCATCAGATTAAAAGACAGTGAAAAATAAAACCAATCATAGCGGCAGTCAAGCTATAAATAGTGGCAACGGACGTTCCAGCAAAACTCCTCAAGATTTTTAAGAAGAAATAATCCCTCAAGTGAGAAGCATTTTGAAATAAGGAACTTTTATTAGTCATGCCTCTTTACCAAGGAGTAAAGGTATTAGACCTAGCAGATTATAAAGGTAATTATTATGGGTTATTGTTTTTAAGTTTGCAGAGTTTATAGTAATCGATAAGAAAAAATAGAGTATATCCAGAGGAAATTCGAGATAATTCAGGGTCTAATTAAAATGATTCAATATCAGAAGATTCATTTTTTGAGGAAACTGAATAAAATTAAGTAGAGGATGAAACAAGATTTAGATTTGATAAACGGTATTAAGTTTATTTATTGAAGTTATGCTCATCTTTCATATATTATATTTCCTGATGATCCAACAAAATTGTTATGGGATATTTTAATTATAATAGCATTATTATATGTTTGTTTTGTAGTTCCTTATGAGATATCTTTTAAGAATGATGATACAGAAGAATCAGCAGTTTAATTTGGTTTAAATATTTCTGTAGATATTATTTATGGGATAGACATAATCATAAATCTCTTTAGCGCTTATGTTGATGATTAAGATGAATTGATAGTAGATAGAAAGATAATAATTAAACATTATTTGACTGGTTGGTTTATACTGGACATTATATGTGTTATGCCCTTAGATTATGTAGTTGATGACAACAATACAACTGGTTTTTAAAAAATTGCAAAACTGCCAAAAGCATATAAAATGGTTAAGCTTATAAAAATGTCAAGAATGTTAAAGTTTTGCATATAAAAGAAGAAGTATGGAGAAATGTTGAATCAATTTTCAAATATCAGTGTAATTCTGTTTAGTTATCATAGTAAAATATTAGGGTTATGATTATCTCATTATTATCAGTAATCCTAGTAAGTCATTTGTTTTCTTGTTTTTGGTATTTCATTGGAACAATTTCATCTGAAACTTAGACTTGGATTGACCAATATGTAGATAATGAATCTAATTTTGAAAGATATATAATGAGTATGTATTGGGTCTTTTAAACTATGGCAACTACTGGATATGGAGATATTTCAGCAACTAATAGTACAGAATAGATGATAGCAATATTTATAATGATTATTGGAGTGATTTTCTTTTCTGTTACAATAGGTTCAGTTAGTTCTTTGTTAACTTAATTAGATTCTTAAAATTTGAAATATAAAGAAAAAATAGATACTTTAAATGAAATTGCTAAACATCATAAAATAGATAATACTTTATATGCTAAAATTTGTAAAGTGTTAAAGTAAGGATACAAAAATAATTAGAATGAAGTAGTTGAATTTTTACATCTTTTGCCTTAAAATTTAAGGACTGAATTATCATAAGCTATGTATAAAAATGTATTTTTGGGTATTGATCTATTTAAACATAAACCATTAAGATTTACAGCATATATAGGACCTTTGTTAACAATACTTAGAATTCCAGAAGGAGATGTAATTTATAATGAAGGGGATTATGCAAGTGAAATATATTTTATTCGTGAAGGAAGTGTCTCATTATGTATAAAAGAATGTGATTATCATCCCTTTGTAACAATAGATGTTGGATAATACTTTGGAGAAATTGAATTAATTAAAGAAACCTAAAGAAAATATACAGCTATTGCATAAAAATAATGTGAACTATTGTCTCTATCTAAATCAAACTTTTATAAAATATTTTTTTCAGAATTCAGAGAAATAGGTGAAGAATTACATGAAGATGCAAGAAGGAAAAAAAGAGATTATGAAGATAAATTTACTAAAACAAAAGCTTATTTATAAGGATTGGAATAAAAAGCTGAATAATAATTAACAGAATCAAATAATGAAAGTAAAATTAAACTTGGTTTAGAAAAATTCAAATTAAATTTAATGTTTTAAGCTTAAACTAAGAAAGGTATTTTAGAAAAAGCAATAAAAGATGCTGAATAATAGACATCAAATGAATTAAAAAGAAGAATGACACATCTAAAAACTGTGTTATTGTAAAAGGGTATAATAAATAAAATGGATGAAAAGAGTCCAAGTAGAATCTCTCCTAAATTAATCAAAACAAATACTCTAAATAGTGAAACATAAACTAGAAAATTTGATAAAAAAAATACATTTTTACCTATGGATATCATTAAATAGGCTCAATAATTAAGCTCAGATGAAGAGAATAATGTCAAAGATAAATAATAGTAAGATTAAAATAATCATCGAATTACTAAAAAGGCTATGACTACTTTTCTCTAACCTGAAACAAGGGAACATCAAGCTGAATTTCTATTATCTCAAGATGGGATGTTAAATTCTCAAACTCCATCATCTTATAATACAAATATACAATTTTTAAAAAATAGAAAAAAATAATTGTACCTCTGATATTATATATTTTATTTAATTGTAAAAATCTCATTATTGATATGAATAACAATATTTAATTGTGCATTATAAGATATATAATTAATTAATTCATTGTTCTACAATTACTTATTATTCATTTGTTTGATATTAGTTTTCCATCTTAATTTCCAATTCCTATTTACATATTGGACAATGTTTCTCTTTACCCAACCATAACTTTATGCATTTTGAATGATATATATGTTAACATGGAAGAGCTCTGCATTTATCAGTAGTCTCAAATTCAATTTAACATATTGAACATCTTTAAATTAATATAAATGTCTATTACAATTATTCATCTGTTTTGCATTAATCAAAGTTTATTTTTGGGATAGTCTTTATTTGTTCTTTACTCAAACCTCTATTGACATATCCAATTGTATCTTCAAGTTAAAGAAGTTATTCATAAGTCAGATTGTCAACATCAACAAAAACTGGAATGTCTTCATTGCTATGACGAATTTAATATAGAAAGTGTCTCAAATTATTTAAATTAGTCATATGCTGTTAAAATCCATCTTGAGAATCTTATTAATTAAATTTATATATCATACATGCTTCCTCTTCTTCTTATAGATTGAGTTAACTTTCCAATTAAGTGATGTGTTCTATTAAAATCTGTCTCTCTTCCATTAGTTTATGTGATTACATTTATAATTCTTTGCAACAATTTTCTCTTTGTTTAAGTAATTGAAGTAAGAGTTAAATTTTAGTTTCTTTCTCATCAATAATCTACTTTTATCCATAAGAACTTTTACCTTCTTAGACTTCTTAACTAATTCCTCTAACAGTTTACATTATCTCAACAAATCTTCGATAATAGGTGAATTGACAGGGTGATCTTGGGGCCTACGCCTCTAAATCACTGTAGATCTAGTCATCTTTATTTCTGGAGATTAAGATTATTTGGAAACAAAAGGATACTTTTCATTTTTTAATAATTTTAATGCTAACTCTTTTCTTAATTCAGGAGAATGACTTTTTCTTTACATGTTCATATTTTTATGATAAATATTTTTATATAAAATTAATACCAAATTTGTATATATTTATGTTGTTTTATCTCATTTATGTATAAAAAATTTATTAAAATATTTATATAATAAATATATTAGATTATATCTAAATAAGTAAAGAGTCAAGTATTAATAATATTTATATATTTGTATTTATTAAAAAGATTAATGGTAAGATATCGCTCCTATTCAAAAATATATTTATATATTATTAATAATTATTTAAATTTGACTGTTTGATAAATCATTTATATTGTTTAAATCTCTAGAAATCTTCTTTTTCACCAAATCTTGATAGTAGTATAAAATAACATTCTAAAAATCAATTAACAATGTTACTTGCTGCTTTATTATATTTAGCTTAATAAACCCAAAAGTTACCTTTATATTTGAAACTCAAAGGTGGTTCCTATGGTTTTGCTTAAGGATCATCGGGATCTAAGTATTTCTTCCTTATTTCTTTCTCAAATTTGTTTCTTTCTTTTGACCATGTTTTGCCAATAGGAAATCCTCTTCTTGTAAACATGAAAAAGAATTTTTTATTATAATCATACATCATAAAGCATCTAAAAACCTTTGTTAATGTTTCTATACTGAAATGTTTTTTTTTATTAAATCCATGTCTGAATATCTAGGCTAATAAAATTATTTTACTGTTTGACTTTGAAGTGTGTTTTGGTTTGATGTAAAAACCTTATCAGAATTTGGTGATGCTAAATTATCATTATATAACTCTGTTAAAGATTAAAAATTTTAGATTTAGTAATAAAATATTAATCTAATGATTAATTATAAATATTATTCAATAAATTGATACCAGTAATTGTCCAAAGTAAGAATTCTCAATTATTAAAACTATTATTCTAAGATTAAGCTATTTTTATATTTTTAATTAAATATAATGGATCTTAAAATAGAAAATAAAAACAAATTCTAATATTAATGAATCAGATGAATTAGCAATCTATTAATCTAATAAAAGATTAATGGAAAACTATATAGATGAATTAAGTGAAGTAAACTTTATATAACTGAAATGGATGTGTGAAGTCAATCCAAGAAATTGAAAATGATACTAAGAATTTAGAATAATTGTAAATTTAAAGAGCATGATAAATAATAGGAATTAAAACTAAATTAATTGAAACCAGAGCCAACAGAATTGATTGATTAACATTAAAAAAATAAGTAAATCTAAATTATTAAGAATAAGAAAAATAATAAGGACAGAACAATAAGAAGAAATCATTTTAGGCTTAAGAACCTTAAGCAGAACCTGATTAAAATTAACAAGTTCTAAACTCTCCAAGTGAACATTTAATAGGAGGAGAGCTACTTAAATTAGAATTAAAATAAAAAGATAAAATGAAGTTTATTTCATCTTTAAATGGACTTTCTAAGGTTTATTTTGATTTAACTATGAGGTCAAAATTAATGAACTTTAATGAATATATCTTAATTCCTGTAGACAATCTAGAAAAGTAAAAAAAAAGAGGTTTAAGCCTCTAAATTGATAAAATAAGCTGAATAAATATAAAAGTGCTGTGAATAAATTATGTGGTTATTTAAATTGATATCATGAAATTCTTAAAGATGCAACTCTATAATAAAGTTTATATTCTGGAACTGTAAAACTTGTAGTAGCAAAAACAACTGCACCAATAATTCCTAAATATGTGGCTTAAGCAAAAAAAGTGTTATGAATTTTCATTTATGCTATTTTTAATAATATCTAATTTAATTTATATCAATTTGTTGTATACTAAATAAATTAAATGGATCTGTAGACCTAACTAAATAGAATTCAAATAACATCTTTATTAACAAAAATACTTTTCACTTTACAGTACTATTATCAAAAAGTTAAAAAATTGGATTGATAGATTGTTTTATTTATAAAATTAATGATTAATTAATTTCACTCCTAATTTGCTATATTTTTCATGAGACTTTTTCTTTCCTTTTTTTATTTTAACATATATTTTCATAATTAAAAATGCATATCCAATTATTAATCAAGTTTATTATTACTTACATCTTATTATAAATATTTTGTATTCTAGAATTACTTATTAAAATCTAAATTCTTTTTAGTACTTTCTTCATTATAGAACTATTCAAATTTAACTTAAATATTTAGCAAAACCTTAAATATTATGACACTATCTGATCATACATCAATTTAATTAAAAATTCATTTGCCCAAAAAACATTATTTTAAACTTAAATTCCCAATTAAGTAGTAATTTAAATAAATAAATGTTGATTATTATCATTGTTATTAATACTTGATGATTTTATTAAATCTTTTATTTAAGTTTAAAAATTTTCATTTATTCAATTTATTAACTAAATTTTGATGTTATTTTAATTATATTTAATTATATTTTTACAACTATTTTTAATAAATATTCTAAAAATTTCCAATTCATTTTACTTTTTCTAAAATTTGATCATTTTTTTATTTAATGATATATTGGATTAATAATTTCATATGGTTTAAAAATTCATTCTTTGGTTACTTTTGCAAAAATTAAATTTTTATAAAGTCAATTTCTAATTAATCAACTATATTCACCAATATACTATTTTATTTTAGTTTTTTGTTTGTAAAAAGTTTTTGATGAAAATATGTTTTCACAACATAATAACTTTTGCCATGTTTTAAAGCCCATCTTTCAAAATCAGAAGCAGAATCTAAATTTACTTGGTAGAAACCCAAACCAATCAGTAGAGTCGTCAATGTGGCTGCAATTATATTTTTCATTAATTATATTCAATTTATTTTAATAACCCAAACAATATATTCTAAATTATTATATAAAAAATCTTTTTATTCTATAAACTCAATTTAAAGTAATTTTTTAAATCAGTTAAACATTAACTTAAAAAAAGCATCAAAAAGATGACTTTACAAAAACTCTCAAGAAATTTAATGAAATATCCATTTACTTAAATTAATTATTTTTCGGAAAAATATAGAAATGAGTAATTTTTGTAATAGATAAGATATGCCAATAATAACCATTCATCACATATAATAATTTTGACTTGCAAATTTAAAATTAGACCATTTTCTAAATATACACAAAAATAATATATCTGAAATTTAATTATACACTTTAAGATTTGGTAGCTTGACGGATTGTTGACATCTATAATAATGAAGTCTTAAATTAAGAAAATTAAGTGATAATTAAGGAATTAACATACAGCCTTTGGAAATAATTTCTAATGATTTTATAATCGTATTAGGAGGAACAGGATATGTAAGAAAATTATTATTATTATAGACTAAAAAAAACTAAATTGAAATAATTTTCAAAGAAAGGTTGTGGAAAATGTTGTTGAATAATATTTAGTCTATCAGAATGATTTTTTTATATAATATAATTATATAAGTTTGAGTTTAATAGATTAGTTTAATTTAAAATATCATCATAATGACTTCATTTTTTTCATATTTTTATAAGTTTTTTTTTGATTAATATAACTCTTGTTCAACATTTTTTTCATTTAATTCAGTCATCCAAGGAACTATATCCTCTTCATCTAGTATATACTCTTATTATATATTTAAGACATCCTTCAATTAATTTTATTGTTCTATTAAAGAAGATCTTTTTTCTTCTTAATAAATTTAAATTTAAATTGCATTCTATTATAATTTTTGATATTTCTTTTCAAATAATTTTTAATCAACTAAATTTTAATCCATATATTTTATTATTTCATCCTCATAATTATTAATCAGCTATTCAATATTTCTCTTAACTTTATGTTCCAATAAATCATATTTAAGCTAAATATTATTATAAATTAATACAGTAATGTAATTTTTTATTTTTTGGATTTCATAATATATTTTACCTACTAAACATTTCTAGTCTATAATATAAAATTGAAAGGCTGGAATAGTGTTAAATTTATTAAATTATCGCAAACTAAATAAAAATTTTATTTAAAAATATTAGTTACTTTTTTCTGATTTTATTAAATTAAAAATGAATTTTGCATAGTTTGAGTAGAATAGAGAATGATTTGAATATAATGTATAAATTTTAAGGAAGAATTTCATATAATATATTATTGTATTGAAGGAAAATAATATTTAAACTGATTTGTGTGTTCTGATTATATTTTGAATAATTAAATTAGTTTTTACTATCAATCTATTTTAATAATTTTGTGCAAGACAAAAATTTTTCAATATTGATTTTTAAAATAATTATATAATATTTGAATTGGATATTATCTAATAGCCTATAAAAGGTATAAGTATGCCAAATTAAAAAAATTATATTATTCATTCCAACTATATATTAATACTAAACATATTATTAGGATGATAAATATAAATTATGCTTTTCTTTTTTTTATTAATTTTCTTATATAAATAATCTCATGAAAGTTTAAATTAGAAAAATTTATAAAAAGCAAAATGACCAAATTAATAGAAAAAAAAAAATTAAACAAGTGGACTTTATACATTTGAATTAAAATAAAGGAATAAGTGTGAAGAGACAGTTTTATATTGTAAAATAATTGATGTCATGATTACTTTTATGTTTTTGTGTTTTTGGAAACCCTTACTAAATTCTTGCTTTTTAGTTAATATGGAAGGTCTTTCATAATGAATGTTTGATATAGAAATATTAGATTAAGTATTGCGATAGATGTAGATAATAATAAATTAGTAAAAATAAATACCATTTTCTATATGATTATGGATGTTAATCGAATTACATAAAATATATTAGTTAGTAATAGTAATGATACAATATTTATCATCTTAATTGCTAACTTAATTATTATTTGCAGTAATTATTTTATCAAGAATTTAATTATGTTCAATAAGGTGTAACAAAAATAAAGTGTCTAGAAATCATAGAAAGTGTAAACTATTATAGAAGCTATGCAGAAATAGATGATAGATACCCTCTTCCAAGGAGTAAGAATCAAACAGGATCAATTTTGGCTATAGATTGTGAAATGGTTTAATGTGAGTTGTCAATTATAATGGTTATGTTGTTATGGATCAATATTTCAAACAAAGATTTAAGGTGATAAATTAGATTACACGAATCTCTGAGATTAATCCATATATAATTAAAGATAAACCAGTTTATAATGACTTTGAGAAATAGAAATTTTAGCCTTTATTTAAAGGTAAAAATTGTTATTATTTATAGATAAAACTATAATTGGATATACTCTGAAAAGTGATTTTGATGCTATGGAATGAATTTAATGTTGAAGATTACCACACAAGAGATTTGATGAAAATAGATTTTTTTAAATTAGAAGAAGGATCAAGTAATACTATAAATAATATGATGGCTTAAAAAAGATGTGTTTGAAGTATTTGGGCTAATTTATTCAATAATGTCAGCATAGTTTTGAGATTGATGCAAGAGCTGCCTTATTATATTTAGAAAATTTAGTAATGAAATCAATTTGTATTATAAATAATTAGAATGGGAAAAAGACAAATAAAAAAAATAAAATTCAAAAAATAATTTAAAATGTAAATAAAAAGTACCTTTGAAATAATATCAAATTAAGAAATTTTAAGCTTCAAAATAACATAATGAAAAACATTAGGAAAGGAATGATGTAATGAAAGTTTAAATTTAAAAGAAGACAATATCAAAAAAGAAAAGTTAATGATGCAAACATTAAAAAATTAATATTAATTTAAAAATATGTATAATATTAAAATTTCTCCCAAACAGAAATCAGATGACAGATCTATAATGAATTAAATATTGAAAGAAGAAGCATTTTTCTTGAACCAAAAGCAAGGAGATATTCATTCTTTTGTTTTAGATGATGATTAAGATTAGCTTCTTAATAAATTATTAAATGTTCATAAGATGACAAACATAGATAAAGAGAATTACACTAAGCATATCAGCTATTGTGTTAGAAATTTAGGATAAAAATCAATTGATAAATTACCTATGATTATGGAAAAATATGTAATATTGTTGTAATATTTAATTTAGAAAAATGAAGATGAAAGATTTTAAATAATGTTTATAGAATAACTAAATTTGATATATGAAGCAAATTAATAAGCTTAGTAACCAGTCATACAAATTTTGAGCTTTTTCTTGTTGAATAGCATTTTGAAAATCAAAGAGTTTGCAGGTTAATAATTAACAAAAATTGCTCTTCATTTATAAGGAGATGAAAAAGGAAATTAATTATTACCTATCATAATAAAAATGGCACATGATGACATCAATCAGGATAATAGAATAGTGGCATTATAATTGATGGGTAAACTCTCATCAATGTTTGGAATCTAATTAAGCGAATCTTTTATAGCATTTGAAGTAATGTCTCTTGGAGAGGATTCAAAACAAGATGTAAGAAAAGAGGCAGTAAATTAATTGCCTTTGGTTGCAAAAGTAGTTGGAAAAGATTTTTTTAATAAGAAATTGTTTCCATTTTATATGAAAAAATGCAAAGAAACAAATACAAAAGTAAAGACTTCATGTGTTGAGCATTTTTTATAAATTGTAGAATTGTCATCTTAAAATTAAAAAACTGTTGATCTTACAGCCCAAATATTATAATTCTAAAAGTACTGAATTAATTACATTTTTAGTGATTCTAATAAATATGTTAAGGGAGTAGCATATAGATGTTTAGCTAGATTTATTGCAGCAATTGACAAAGAAAAAATTGAACCAAAACTAATTGAAAATTATTTGAAAATGGCTGATTCTGATATAAGAGAATTACTTCCTGAATAGTAAGTAATGTTTGCATGTGCTTATGGTTTTCCTGCAGTTTTATAAACAGTTGGAGTTGCAAGATGGTAATAATTGCATAAATTATTTAATCATTTATGGAAATAAAAAAATGAAAGAATCTGTAAAACTTTGGCAGCCAGTCTTCATGAAATAGCTAAAATTATTGGAGCAGAAAGAGCTGAAATAGATTTATTTCCTATTTTAGAGACTATATTTGTAAAAGAACCAAATGATAATGTATTAATGGGTTGTGTTAAGAATTTATCTTAATTTTTAAAGATATTTTCAGATGAAAAGAAAGAAGCATTTTTAGAAATATTTTTTTTTATTTAGAGAGATTAAAAAAAGTGGAGAATCAGAGAATCAATTGCTAATTAATTAGATGAAATGGCTCTTATCTTTCCAGCAGATATTATATTTAAAATGATTATTCCTATTGCTTTTAGATTATGCACTGATAATGTAGCATAAGTTAGAAAAATAGCATCTTCTAAAATATATTCATTCTTTGAAGGAATAAAAAATTCATAATTATATGAATAATATAAGATCTGTATCATTGAAAGTATGATTGGTTTTTAAAAATCATCAGTATTTTATCAAAGATAATCGTATATTTTCCTATTATATATAGATTTATTTAAATGTGTTCAAAAATAATGAATTTAGAGGATGACATCTTTGAAAAACATCTTCTAAAACCTTTATTAGAATTAGCATAAGACAAAGTTTAGAGCGTTAAGTATATGTTATATATGGCAATAGAGAATCATTTAAAAAATTAGGGTAACTATTGATTTAAAATTAAAAGGAAAATAAAAAGGAAATCCATAATTATTAGAAGTATTTAATACACTTTAAAATGACAAAACTATTAAATCTCTAGTAAAATATTAACCAACTTTGGATGTTTAAGTTAAAGAGACAGAGCCAATATAATAGGAGAATATAATTGCTAATCCAGAACCTATCAGTTAGGAGCCTTTGTTAGAAGAAATTGATGATGATGATATACCTTAAAGAAAAGTATAAGAAGAACCAGAAATCTTAAAATAATTGAGATAAGAAAAATAAGAATTTATCAAGAAGTAGGAGGAAATCTAGAAGGATTAATTAGTTAAGGAAGAAGTAGTTGAATAAGTTGAGTAGTTATCTTTGAATGAAAATACAGAATCAAATGTGTAAAGTGATTAAAATACTGAATGCATCTAAGATACTTAATCAGATTAAAACATTTAAAATAAGGAATCTTAAGAATTATAATAGTTTGAATAATTATAAGGATAAGGTGAATAATAATAAAAGCAGAGTGATGAATTATAAGTGAATGAAGAATATGAATAAGGATCATAAACTGATTAAAAAGAGATAAATACTGAAGAAGATGCTTCATAACTTTGAGAATTTTTTGTGACAATAATTAATTATAAATATTAAAGAAAATCAGTTTACTTGTGTGTGAAGTTTAAAATTATATCTTTTAAATCTTCTTTATTTTTAATTGTTTTCTATATATTCTTTACTAATTAACCCTGCTTCATTAATTGTTTTAATTTCTGGATTGAATTAAACAACCTTATTCTTACTTTTTGAATTTACTTTAAAAACGAGTGTACTGACATTTGAATTTTCTTGAAAACCTGGTGTTCTTATATTTCTTATAGGTGTTTTTGAAGAATATTTTTTATTTAATTACTATGAATCTTAATTTATTCTAATAGGAGAGTTTTAATGAGACAAAACTTATAACACTACAGTTGATTTCTAAATATTAGGAAATCTTCCAATTTTAGGGAGTTTAATATATTTTCTTTCAGTTGATATCTATTCATTATCTATAAGTTGATTATGCAAATCTTCTAGTTAATCATTTTTTTATTATTAATTAGAAAGCACAGAATTATTGACTATACTATTAATATCATTTAAAAAAAGTGAGGGTCTAAGAGGTCTATTTTAGTAGTTGCTAAATCTTTATTTATCTTCATTTTGTCTTTAGTCCAATTTTTACAACAGTATATGTTATTATTATGTGATTATAAACATATTAATGTTAAAATTTATAAATGATAAGTATACTGTTGATAATTAAATTTATTTGTAATCATATAATACGATTTAATTATTTGTTATGATTTATTTAAATATTTATATCGAAATTTGTTTTTCGATTAGTGTTTTATAACTAATTTCTAATAATCTAGATATCAGAGTCCACAAATCAATGAGAATTTAGATTTTCTATTTAATTATTATTGTTAAAGATAAATATCTTATAGAACTGCTAAATTATTGAGATAAAAGATATGAGAGGGATGAATAATAAATCATAGAGATTGTTCAACTAAAGACATTGAATTATTATATATTTATTTATAAGTGCTTAAGTATAATTTATGAAAAATTCAAATCTTTTTAATAATTAATGGCATTTGTTAAGCTTGTTAAAGGAAAACCATACTTCAAAAGATTCTAAACATAATTCAGAAGAAGAAGAGAAGGAAAGACTGATTATTATGCAAGAAGCAGATTAATTGTATAAGACAAGGATAAATACAATTCCCCAAAATATAGATTTGTTGTTAGACACACAAATACTAAGATCATTTGCTAAGTCATTTATGCTACATTGAAAGGTGATAAAGTAGTGGCATCTGCTGAATCAACTGAATTAAAGAGATTTGGCTTGACAACCGGTTTAAAAAACTATGCTGCTTCATATGCCACAGGATTATTATTAGCCAGAAGAACACTTAAGACATTGAAAATGGATAAATTCTATGAAGGCAATAAAAATATTGATGGAAACTTATATGATGTAGCTGATAAAGAGAATCCAGAAAGAAGACCATTCTTTGCTGTTCTTGATATTGGTTTGGTTAGATCAACTCTTGGTAATAGAGTATTTGCTGCCTTAAAGGGAGCTGCTGATGGTGGTATTCACATCCCACACAATAACAGAAGATTCCCAGGATTCTCTATTGATAATGATAAGAAAGAGAAATATGATGCCAATGCTCACAAAGACAGAATCTTTGGTGTTCATGTTGATAAATATATGGCTCTCTTATAAAAGGAAAAGAAGACAAATAAAGATGGAAGATCTAAATTTGATGTCTAATTCCACAATTGGGAATAAACATTGAAGACTGTATATTTTAATTTTTATATAAATAGACTGGTGCCAAATCAGTATAAGAATTATTCAAGAAAATTCATGATGAAATCAGAAAGAATAGTGATAGAGTAAAGAGAGGTGTTAAATAAAATCCAAAGAGAGACCATACTAAATTCAGAGCCAAGAGATTAAATGCTAAATAAAGAAGAGCTAATGCTTTAAAAAAAATCGATATTGCAACCAAATAAGCTGCAAAATTAAAGAAGAAGGCATGATTTCATTTATATTTGGTACATTATAAAATATCCCTTATCTATTCTATTATTGTATGTATTTTATTAAAATAATTAATTATGATTCAAACTCATAATGAATAATGTGATCATTTCTAAAAAGATGAACTTAATGCATTATCTGCTATCTATTTATCAGACTATGAGTAATTAAAAGATGTACATCCTTATTCATTTTAAATAATTGTTGCCCCATTTGTACCAGCAGATTAATTTTATCATGAGAATGTAGTTTATTGCAAAATATTCATTGCCTTTCCTGATGATTATCCATTAAAATCATAAAGATTTCATTTTGAAATTTAAGGGTTGAGTAGAAATTTCACTTAGGATAATTTAATTAGAGCAAGAAAGGTTTGTGAATAAGTAATTGAACAACATGAAAAAGAAGCAGATTGTTAACCAATAGTCTTTGCAGTTGTTGAATCATTAAGAGTAATAATATTAATTAAATTTTAGGATTATGTTTATGATCAATCTATGTATTTATAAGAATTATATGATCAATAAAACTCAAAGACTGAAGATAACTATATATATATACCACCCATGCCTAAATTTGCAACAAACACTCCTGTTACACTTGAAAGTTTTACCATTTGGAAGAAGAAGTTTGATTAAGAGATTTATGAAATTAAAAAGAGAGAAAAGAATTTTACATAATTAGAAGAAATGATGAAAAAAATTAGTGGAAAGTAATATTTTGATAGAAAACAAAACAAAGAAGATGATAATGAAGTCTTAGAAATTATTAATGAGGATGATGATATTGTTGAATTAGAAGATGAAGATTATTAAGGAGAAGAAGATGATAATGATGAAGAAGATCAAGATAGACCTGTAATTATATATTATTAATTTTTTAGTTGTATGAAAGAGAATAACTTGAATGATTTATATAATGATGTAATTATCTATAAATATTGAATTACATGATTGTTGGAACAAATATTATTTCTATATAATCATCTATTAATTAATGAAGAATAAATTATTTTAGTGATTTTTCATTAATCTGTAGATAATCTAAATATTTTCATTCAAATAAATGATTCTTAAGTAGTATTTCTATTTATAAATAACTAATTGATTAAATCTTATCCCTTAAACATTTAATATTAATTAGTTTTTACTCTCTTATTTTATTTATAATTATCAGACTCGAAACATAGTTTTTGTTTAAAATTGACATTTAAACCATTTTATTATAAATTATTTATACATGAAATTTAAATTTAAATTAAAAAAAAATCAAAATAATCTCATCTTAGGATCTATTGATCATATATTTACTAAATTTTAAAGGTAAACTATAACAAATATCAAACACTAAATTATAATTTATCATAAGCTGTGTTAAACATCTTTTAAAAATTACCTAAATTAATCATAACAAAAATTTAGTTAAAACATTATAAATCCTAATTGGTTTGATATTTGTACATATGATTATCTATATAAAAAACTTAGCTAATTTTATTTATGAAACAATAAAAATATTTGATGAGTTTTTGAACAATCACAAAAAAAAGCTTTAATTATGTCCCATTTCACTACCAATAAATAGAATCTTTTAAGAAAGTGTTATTCAAAGAATCAAAAAATATGAGTTTCTTCCACTTATCACTAAAAAGATGAAGTACTAAAATCTTCGAAATTTTGATTATTTATAAATCCATAGTGCTGGAGATTATAAAGTAGTAAAAATTTTAAAAAGCAGTAGATTGAAGACTAAATATATTGATTATAGTTTTGCTTTTGATTCTAAATATGAATAAAAATTTATGATAATTATTATTTATATTTGATGTCAACTTAGTATAGAGTACCCTCTAATGACAATTACATTCGTGACTTAGAAAACATCTCTCAAAGGTATATATGATGTATAATGAAAGAGAGCGACATGGATTGTTTAATTAACCACCACCTTTATCATTGGGGGATTAATATAACGATGCTTTGAAAAGTATAGAATATTTTCTAATTATGAAGGCCAAGGCAAAGAGAAAGGAATTCTAATTAATAAAAAACTCTAAAAAAAACATGAACCTGTTTTGTTTTCAGAACCTGGTTATACTACATTAAATGATCCATATAAAGACTAATTTAAAGCTAAATAAATTTATGACAAAGAGAGAGAATTAGCCATAAAAAATCCTAATAGTTTTAAACCGAATGACCATTAGAAATCTGTGTATATAATTTAACTTATTCAGTAAACATTCTGAATTTGAACATATGAAGGAATATAATGATAAAGTCTTTAAAACACGAAATTCAGCAGGAAATGTAATTACTTAGGCTAGAAACTTTTTGACAAATCCAGCAAAGAAAGGATTAGGCAGAACAACTATTAAAAATTTGTTTGGTTAGATTGAATATATTCCTGATCCTTATGATAGATAGGAAGAAATGGAAAGATAGGAGAGAATCTAACATAAAAGTAAATAATTGCCTGGAACAACAAGATTTGTAACAACAAGTCATGGAAATAGACCCTTTACTGCAGATGGTGTTTTATTAGATGGAGCAGGTTATACAATATGTAATAATATCAATAAATTTATAGAAAAAAAACCACCTACATATAAAGGAAATCCATTTAGACCATCAAATTAAAATAAAAAAGGGTTTTAAGGAACTTTTGAAGTTCTATAATATATGGAGGAAGGAGTTCCAGATATCAAAACAAAATAAAATACATTCGAAAAATTAAGTGCCACCTAAACATATGAAAAACCTTGGAGACCTAATTCAAATGGAACATTTGCTAGACCTTGTCCTAGTGTGTCTTAATAATTACGAAATAGAAGTGCAGGATCAAATTAAAGATTATGATATGCTTATGATAGAATTTTCATATTTAAAATTGATTCTAATTATTTTTCTCTAAAAGATTTCTTAATATATTAATAAATTAACATAGTATTTTCTATATACATAAATAAAGATATTTTACAAACTTTATAATGTTATTATCAAAAGCAAAATAGATAGTATGTATTTCAAAAACAGGTGAGAGATTTAAATTTGCTAATCCTGATCTTTGTATTTTAGAAAATGCATCTGTAGCAATTAATGAATAGGGAATGATTGTTGATATTGGAGATATCGATGAAAAATATTTAAATTATAAAATTGTAGATTGTAGAGGCAGATGTGTATTACCAGGATTGATTGATGCTCATACTCATCCTTGTTATGCAGGAGATAGATCTGGAGAGTTTAAGATGAAATTAGAAGGAGCAACATATATGGAAATTCACAATAAAGGAGGAGGAATTATGTATACATCCAGATGTGTGAATTAATCAAGTTAAGAAGAATTAGAATAGATTTTAGAAAGTGGAATTAAGAGAGCTATAAGAAATGGAACAACTACTATGGAAGCAAAATCTGGATTCGGATTGTCCACAGATGGAGAAGTCAAATAGTTATTGACTATTGAAGCTGTAAGCAAAAGGAGTCCTATAGAAATAGTTTAAACTTATTTAGGAGCTCATGCTTTACCACCTGGATTGAGTGAGAAATAAGCAGAATAGGATATTATAAATAATCAAATTCCATAAATTAAGAAATTAATAGATGAAGATAAAATCCATCCTGAATTTGTAGATGTGTTTTGTGAAAAGGGAATTTATGAATTAGAATCTACTAAAAATATATTATAAGAAGGAGCAAAGATAGGATTGATTCCATCTTTTCATGGTGAGGAATTAAATCATTTAGAATCAGCCAAATTAGGAGCTGATTTAGGAGCAATAGCTATATCTCATTTAGAACATGTAATTTATATTTATACTATTTTTAGTTATCTAAAGAAGGAATATAGGCTATGGCTGAAAAAAAGGTTGTTGGTGTTATTCTTCCAACAACTTAATTCATCTTAAAACTATAACCTCCTCCAGTTAGAGAGATGATTGACAGTGGAGTCCCAACTGCTCTTGCAACTGATTATTGTCCAAATGCATATTGCATGTCTCTTCCTTTCACTATGAGTTTAGCATGTTTGAATTTGAAAATGAGACCAAATGAAGCTTTATGTGCAGTTACTCTTAATGCTGCTGCTGCATTAAATAGACATAAAACAATTGGTTCTATTGAAATTGGAAAATAGGGAGATTTTGTCATTTTAGATGCTCCTACTTGGGAACATCTAATTTATTAAATTGCTGATTCTCCAATTTGGAAGGTCATCAAGAAAGGCAAAATTATTTATGAATATTTATGATAGAAAAATAAAATTTATTAAAATAGTTTTCTGTTATAAATTAAAATTAAATTTATGAATATATATATATAATTTTAGAACACTTTTTTTAGTAATTATTTAAGATAGTACAAATTGATTGATGCTAAGAAATTTGTTCGATTTTTAATTTAAATTAAATGTCTAAGGAGAATAAATGTTCACGTTTCAAAAAATCAAAAAAGCAAATTGATACTCTTAATGACTTTTACCAAAAACAATAGATCTGGGGATAAAATACAATAAAAGAAATAGCTAATCTGACTAATTTACCAAAAGAGAAAATATATAAATGGTATTGGGATCAAAACAAGAAATTTAGGTAAGAATTACCATCAGATGAAATTGAAGGAGAGATAATAGTTAAATAAGATCATTTGAGTTCAAATACCCATGAAATACTATATTGTAGTGGACTTTAATTAAATTAAGAATTAGATGAAAATTTAAAAAATAGGCTAATCAAATTAGCCAGAGATTTGATTTTAATAAAATGAGGATTATTTATTTTCAAAACAAGTCAAGTATATATTTCAAAAATTTTAATTATTTAAATATAAAACTTTACTTCTTCATTCAATATTAATACTTTTGATTCTAAAATTTTGAAATAATATTTGTTAAAATAATTGATAGTGTATAAGTATAAATTGAAGATGTATTCATAAAAAATAATTCATATGATTTCTAATATATGTTTACAAAAAAAGTAAAGGATAATTTTTATTTTATATTAATAATGAGAAATGACAATTCCCCTGTTAATTAATAAACTAAGGGTAATCTAAGTTATCAGAATTAATCCCCAAGAAAACAACATACACCTTAAGATACAATGTCATAGATTTTATAATTCAATCCTTAATTGTCTAATCAAAAATCCACTTCACCTCATAGACCAAAAGATTAACCAAAAGAAAGCTTTTATTTTGTTTAGGATGATGGCTAAAGATAATAAGAAACATAGCTTAAGTTTAATAAAGTTAAGAATAATTACCATATTACTAAGCAGTTAACAAATAGAAATGATAAATAGAGAAAGTTAGTTGATCTATCAAGTAATGTATTTGAGAATAATCAAAATATTGATGTAATTCCTAAATCTCCTGAAAATTAATAATTAATTAATACATCAGTTTAATGGACAAATGTGCATTATGGTAAAGTACTCACATCTGTTAATGAGAAAGCAGAATTCGGAAAAGATTATGCAAAACAAAGAAAACATCAAGATTTACAATAATAATATCAAGAAGGGACAAAACATAAAAGTCCTTAAAAAATAATAGAGAATGAGATTAATATTTAGTCTAAGAAATAAAATTAATAATTCTCTGATATTTTTGGACAAGAATTAGGAAATAAAGAAAGAAATTGGTTAAGACCATAGCGTAGTCTTTCACCTTAAATAAAATGGACTACATTTGATAGTACTAGAGATTACAAAGATTTTGGTGATATGAGTATTAAAGTATAATACTATATTACAATATATAGGAATCTAAATTACGTAATATAAATACTGATAATTAAAAAGATAATTAGAAAGACACTCATAAATTAAATCATCCTTTGACTTCACCATTTTTTGATGTAAAATATATTATAGTAATATTGATAGTGTTAAATATCCTATGAAAAGATTAAAGGTTAATATAAATAATAGAATTAATTCAAAAATATAGAGAATGGATCTTAAAAGAAATTTGGACAAGAAAAAAAGATTGAATAAAGTAGTAGTAATAAAAAGTATGAAGGGATTTATTCATGGAAAAATAACTATTAAAAATGAAATTATTTATTTATTTATTTTTTTTTGTAATGTAATAATTAAAGAATAATTACATTGAATATCTAAAAGATGGAATTTAGATGAATAAAGTAGAAATGTAGGATTATGGTGGAATGTTTGGAATTTAAGCTATTGATAATATTCAATCAGGAGAATTTCTTATTAAAATTTCTCATAATTATGCAATAAGTGCATTCACAGTATTCTAAAATGAATAATGTGTAGATATTATGAAAAAGAATCCTCATATATATCCATCATTACAATAAATTAGTAATAAAAAAAGTGATTTTTAAACATTAATTCTTTATTTGACAACATAAAGACATGGAAAATTAAAACCAATATTTGATCTTTCAACTAATCCTACTTGTTTGCTTGATTGTGATTAACCAATACCATTTGATTATTTAAGAGAATTGAAACAAGAATTTGAAGAAGAATATAAAGCAGCCAAAGATGAAGTAATGGAAATAGGATTAAATGCTGATGATTATGATTGGGCTTATAGATATTGTATGAATAGAAGACTAAGTGTTAATAATAATTATCCTTTCTCATTTTTAGTACCTATGATAGATATGATTAATCATGGTAAGAATAAAGCTATCTTTGGTTTGGAATAAGAAAATTATTAACCAGAAGAATACATTTAAAATAATTATATGAAATTTAAATACATTTCTTAAAATAAGTATTGGTTTAGTCAGGAAGATTAAGAAATAATAGGGAGTCTAAAAGTAAATGAAAGTGAAAGATGTTCTAAAATATTGAATAAATTATTGGAAAAATTATTTTAAGAATTACTTAGAACAGGATCATCAGATATATGGATTACAAAATTAATGATACCAGATGATTCAGAAGATGAAGATGAACCTACTACTTAATAAAGCAATCATTAATCTCAATAATTAGATACTAAAGATTCAAAAGTCTAAGCTGCAGTTAATGATGATTATCTTAGAGATTACTATGAATAATCTTTGGATTAAAGTGAACATGATTGGTACACAGATATACAAAGATAAACTCTCAAATGTCCAGCATATCTTACAGCAAGAGCAGTGGATGATATAGAAAAAGGAGAGTAGGTTTTAAATTTATATGGATGTTTGGGTAATGAGCATCTATTGATGTATTATGGATTTGCACTAAATAAAAATAAATACGATAGAGTTAAATTCAGAATATTTATGGATTGCAGTACAAAGTATGATTTTCTTACAAATATTGAAAAATTGGTTTAATTACATTATGTTCCCTATAAAGAATTATTAAATTTAAATACTAGAGGAATTAGTCTTAATTAATTAACATCTGAATTTAAAATAAAGAAAAGCTAATTCAATTTAGATTTAATTAAATTCCTTAGAACTTATTTACAATTATTAGATGGAGATGAATTAATTAATCATGAGACTATTATAGTTCTGTATAGAAGAATTATTAATTCTCTATATAAAAAGATTTCATCTCCTATTATTACAAGAGATTCATATTGGGGAGAACAATTATATAATTATTAAAATTCAAAAGCAAGAATCTTAAAAGCTCACTTAGAAATGATAGATAATCTGACAACTAAACCAGAAAAGATGGATATTAAAGTGTTTATGAGATTAAGAGCATATTTACTTAAATAAAACTGAAATTATTTATTAATATTATCAAGAGTAATTCTCTTCTAATAATTCTGGATATTCTTTATCTATCTTTAAGACTAATTCTCCAAATAATCCATTTGCCCATGCAAACCAAGATCTTGTGAAACTAGAAGGGTTATCTTTGAAAAAGCTTTCATGCATAAACCATTTATTCCCTGTAGTTGTTACTAACATTCTTAAACATTCTCTCAGTTCTTATTTATCATTAGTAGTTAATCCTTATGTTACAATAGCCATTGGCCATATGTAATTAGTTCCAATATGAGGACCACCTATACCTTTAGCTGCAGTTCCTTCAAAATAATAAGGATTAGCTGAGCTTAAAGCTTTCTTTCTAGTTGCTTAATATAATGGATCATCAATTTCAATAAATCCATAAATAGGAAGAGAAAGTAAACTTGGTTGATTTGAATCATCCATAAATACTTACTTACCCATTCCATCAACTTCATAAACAAATGCCCCATCCTTTATTCCATATTTATATATAGCATCTCTAATTTCAGAAGATAATGCGAAAGCCTCTTAAATTAAAGGTTCAGCAGCTTTTCTTAAAGACCAAGATAGTTAAGCTTCACTTAACATTTCAGCTGTTTATTTTAAAATTGCTGAGGCCATAGCATTTTCTGGGATATTAAATTAATAGATTGTAGAATCATCAGAAGCTCTAAAAAATGTTCTTAATAATCCAGTTCTTTTAAGTGGTTCACCTATTCCATTAATAACTGTATCAGTTGATCTACCATTTCTTTAAAAAGTATAAGGAAATCTGAAGGTTTAAAATTATTCTGTTTGATCAGCTTGCTAATCTTTAAATGTTCTCAATATTCTTTAAACAGCCTTTAAGTATTTAAAATTTATGATAGATGAATCATTAGTTTCTTTATAATAACCAACAACTAGTCTTAAAACAGCCACCAATGAATCTATTTCAAATTTTCTCTCATGTAAATGTTATGACATTGCGTGAACATTAACACCTAAAAAACATCGAGTTGTATTATCATTGCTCCATTCTGATTATTTCTTTTGATAATTAAATGCATTAGCATATGGATCTATTAAAACTTAATTAATTTATCGATTGATAGCTCCTTTTATTAAATTTTATAATTTGCTATCCTTATTTACAAACTCCATATAGGTCCATAATTAATTAGTACTATCTCTTAACCACATTGCTGTAATATCACCTGTAATCACAAAGGCATCTGGAACATTTGGATCATAATTTGTTACTGTTGTATCAAGAGTATTTGGAAATGAATTGATAAAAGTATATTTAAGTTTATTATCCTTCATTTTTTCTGAAATCTATAAATTATATATAAATTTACCCTGCTTATAGTTTTCTCTATTGCTTCTGATTCGAATTTCTTTTAGGTAGGTCTTTAATTTGATTATGCCAAAAGATTACCTATAAGCAAAGAAGAAGCAATTAATATAAAATTCATAATATTAATTTAATGGAGCTTTAATTCTTTTTATTATTAAAGACTAGAGATAACATTATAATGATTTGATTCTTTAGTTCTATATTAATATATACTCAATTATATCTAGAATATCTCTTATATTTCCTAATAAGTAAAATTTTATTAGTAGAATTCAATTAAAAAATCCTAAAATTTAATCATTATGTAGTTACAAAGTTATTCAAAGTAATAAAGAAATAATAGATTAAGATTAAATAGAAATTTATTTATGAAGGAAAGAGATAAAGTAATTGATGAAAGAAAAAAAATAATAAAAATTGATATACGTGGTTTGAGTATATAATTATTTAATTGATTCATATATTTATGTTTCCAATATTATTGAGTCTCTTCACTATTTCTTGGTGTAGCATTGAGGAAACCAAAGAAATCATGCAAGATTGGGATAAATATATGAGAGGCTTTCTACCTGATGATATGATCTCATTCTAAATTGAAAAAGGAGGAGAAGAAATATTTATTGAGACAATTAAGAAAACTCCTACTAACATAAGAGGCACCTTCTTTATTCCAATCTATACTATGGACACTATAGATTTTAAGGTTATTGATCCTTCTGGTTCAATGATTTATGCAAAAATGATGAAAAAAGAAGCAGTGTTTAATTTCAATGCCACTGAAAAAGGAGATTATCAATTGATATTTCAAAATAAAAGAGCAAAAGAGGCTAAAGTTGTTCAATTTGCTATTGATGTAGCCAAATCTGATAAAGGTATATATATTATTGATATCGTTTTTTTTTAGAGGAAATCGAATAGAATGATATAGATCCTATTGAAGATGGTGTATAAGGAGTACTACAGAAAATAAGAGATGTTTTCTATAGCACAAAATTGAATGAATTAAAATCTAAAGGAGCTTTGGCTGATGTATAAAAGATAAATAAATAATTGATGGTTTTGACATTTATAGAAACTGTTGCTATTTGTGGAGTGACAGCATGGTAAGTATATTACATAAAGAAATTACTCAATGATAGAAGATTAGTGTGATTATGTTAATATATTTATTCTTCGAATTCAATTCAATTAAATGTCAGATCCTAATTCAAAAGCTGCAAGATTGAATCTCAATCCAATCTCTACATCTAATTAGAATGCATAAATCTTAAAGGTATATACCACATCTATTCATTCTAGAAATTGGCATTTAGTATCAATAGTGGATAATCTTCCACTATTAGAGCTCTCAGTGCTCCTAATACTGCTTAAAATAATAGAATGCAATTAGAAATTGAATCAAAATATAGTAATTAGTATGAAGAGCTAGCTAAAATTGGATAAGGAAATTTTGCTATTGTATTTAAATGCAGGAACACTCTTGATTAGTCAATTTATGCAATTAAAAAGACTAAGGCATAACCAAAACAAAACTTAGAGACAAGTGATGCCAGGTAAGAAGCCTGCATTTTAGCAAATTTATTTAGTAAGAGTGATACAAAACACATTGTTAAATATTATAATTGTTGGATAGAGTAGAATCAATTTTTTTTAGTTATGGAATATTGTGATTATAATCTAAAGTATTAAAAACAATATTAAGAATGGGAAATAAAGATCATTTTAAAACATATTTTAGAAGGTCTAAAATTTTTACATAGTAAGAATTTAGTTCATATGGACATTAAACCAGAGAATATACTATTTAAAAAAAAAGATTTGAGTTTCAAGATTGCAGATTTTGGATTGTCAAGACTTTAATTTGTGAAAGAAGACGAAGATATTAGAGATGGTGATTAAAGATATACAGCTCCTGAAATCATGGAATATGTATTAAAAACTATATCTAGATGAATTTTGGTACTCCAATAGATTTATAAAAAGTTGATATATTTGCTTTTGGATGCACTATATTTGAATTAATGATTTAAGAAGAATTGCCAAAATCTGATAATTAATATCATGAATTAAGAAGAGGTATTACCAAACTCAATTTTAAAGATGTAGGTAAAAAAACCATCCATTATTTTATTTAGGAATTTAATATTCTGATTCTTTGATTTAAATTGTTTGTTAAATGATGGCCCCTAAATAAGAGGATAGGCCTACTGCTGAATAATTATTAAAAAATACTTATCTTTATGTACCTAAAGAAAATAAATTAAGATTTTTGGAAAACTCAAATCATATATTATTTGAAGAAAAATAAAGAATTTAAATAAAATAATAAAAACAAAATTAAAGAAGGAGAACAATTGGATCTTTCTTGGAATTTAAAGGATAACCGTGTGTTAAGAATGATGTATAAAAGATGATTGAAAGAAAAAAATAAGAATAAGACGGAAGTTTTAGAATTTCAAGAATTGATTATTATTAATAAGAGAAGGAATTGAATGGCAAAATTTTAAAATCTTCTAAGGATATTAGTGAGAAATAAGATTAATCTCAGTATCATATAAAATTTGAGTACTAGAATTCTAGAAATAAAAGTGCTTGATATCTAATTATATATTAAATTAAATATTATAAAAGGGAACAAATATTCTTATTTTGTATTTTTAAAAACAACATCTAAATATGGATCCCGAAGAAAAATAATTAATTGGTTCAATCCTAAGTGGTATGTGACTATAATGATAATGTGTTAGATGAAAGTGAAGTAAGAATATGTGAAAGGAAATAACCTCGAAAAAAGAGTAAATTATCACTGAACGCCAAAGAGTTTTAACCTACTTTGATTAATTCCATAGAATAAATTGAAATTCTAGGAGATAATTATGGGAATGATACATTGACTTACAATTCTACAACCACATAACCTTATATGTATATATTCTAATTTTATATGTTAGAATTAACGAAAGATAAAAACAGAAGAAATCATCTATTAAAATTCATCATGATTTGAAGTAACTATAATTTTCACCTAAAAAACACTAAACTATGCAACCTATAAGTTAAGTTTAAACCTTCTTTTAGACATTTAATAGCCATCCTTCTCTATAAGAAGATAATTAAATTTAGCTATAATTGAGATAAGATGATTATCAATTTAGAATTAGTTTGGTAATTCAATTAATTATATGTTAGGAATAAATATGTGGGAATTAGAATGCTTCAAGAAATCTTTAAAAAATTTTTGATAATGGTACTCCATTATAAAGAAGTATGATATTTGAGACAATTGAAAAAAATTTAATTAAGACTTCAAAAGATTTATTTGGAAATTATTTGGTTTAAAAAATATTTTTATCAGGTATTTTAATAAAATAATTGATTTAGGTGAAAAATAATGGAAATTTAGTTTATTTTATCAATTAAAAGGTCATTTTGTTGAATTATCTAAAAATCAATATGCTTCTAGAGTTATTAATAGAATGATAGACTTTTTAAAAGATGAAGATAATCATCTTGAAATTGAATTTATAGATGAGATAAAATATTAAATTAGATAATTAATAAATGATAACAATGGTTGTTTTGTATTATTAAGTTGTTTAGAGAATTTTGATGAAAAAATTTGTGAATATATGAAAAAACATATAGAGTAATCAGTCTATTCTATGTCTTAACATACATATGGATGTAGAATTATATAATTTATGCTTTAAAAATAAAATAGTTAATCATTATTAGATTAAATTATGGATGTATCATAATAACTTTGTATATGTGAATTTGGTAATTACATAATTTAGTTTATATTGAAGAGTAATTTTAAATAGTAAAAAATGGAACTGTTCAGAATTATAAAAAGTAATTTTTAAACATTATCTTACAATAAATATGGTAGTAATGTTGTAGAAGTATTTCTTGAAGTAATTGAATAAGAAGACATAAAATTTGTTACTAATATCATGTTGAATGTTGATCAAGAAAATAAGTAGATTTTATTATAAAATTTTAGTTATTTATTTGTTGCCTTTGCAACACATCCTTTTGGAAATTATGTTTTTAAAAAATACTTATAGTTAGATTAATAATATATCATTCCAGTTCTTGGAATAATGAAGAGACATCCAGAATTACTATAATAAATTAATACTTCTGAATATGGATAAAAGATATTCTCTGTTGTAGAAAGATCCATTCAATTTATATGAATAAAAATGTTTGTGAATTGTATTAAGTTTGTATTATGCAGTATATTAATATAAATGAAATAGTATACACTTCCAAATTAAATTGTTTAATATTACTCTCCATTTAGATCGAATGCATAAAAAACAGTTATTTAAGATGGTGAAAATACTTTTGTGATCGACCCTCAATATTAATATTTAAGTATAAGTAAGTAATTGCATTCTATTAAATAAAGTTGGATAAGGATCGTATGGAGTTGTTTTTGCTGCTAAAGATACTAAAAAAGATTAAGGAAGAGACTTAGTTGCAATAAAAAAGATAGTTAAGGCATTTGAATAAAGGCTTTTTGCAAAAAGAACACTTAGAGAATTAAGACTTTAAAGGTTATTTAGTCATGAAAATGTATCATTCTCTTCTATCTGTACAGGTGATATCGATTGAGAAAATAATGCTTCCAAAGTCCAGAGAAGAATTTGACGATATGTATAGAAAACCTGGTAGATTTTAGATACATTGTCTAAGAATTAATGGAAACAGATTTATCTACAATCATTAGATAATAAACATAATTAGATTAGGATTAAATCTGTTTTCTTTTATATCAATTATTAAGAGGATTGAAATATATTCATTCAGCTAATGTTGTTCATAGAGATTTGAAACCAAAAAATTTATTGATAAATGGAAACTGTGATTTGAAAATATGTGATTTTGGACTTGCAAGAGCACTTGATCCATAAATCAAAGTAATTAAAATAAATTTCAAATTTAGCTTAAACCAAAAGTTTATAGTCCTTATGTTTAAACAAGATGGTACCGAGCTCCTGAATTACTTTTGTAATGGAGAGATTATAATTAAAGTATTGATATGTGGTCTGTTGGTTGTATATTTGCTGAGATGCTTAGGAAGAAAATATTTCTTCCAGGAGCTTCAGCTAAAAATTAAATTGAATTAATATTTGATGTATTAGGATCTCCAAATGAATAAGTCTTATAAATGGCACCAAAATCACCTCTCTCTATAAGTGTGAATTAAATGTAAAAAAAGAGAGGCAGAGATTTTGAGAAATTATTCCCAAATGGATCTAAAGAAGCTATAGATCTACTAAGATAATTATTTGAATATGATCCAACTAAAAGAATAACTGCAGAATAAGCATTAAGACATCCATATTTATCAAAATATCATATACCTGAAGATGAAGTACTTATTTAAACAACATAGCCTATAGCTGTTCCTGTTAGATATTTAGACTTTGAATTTGAAGAATACAATCTGACCATTGAATAGTGGAAAGGTAATTATATTTACTTATATTACAGATTGTATTTATGAAGAAATTCTATTATACCATTATCCTGAGTTTTCTAAGGATTATGAATTAAATATCAAAAAAGGATATTCAATAATGAAGCATATTATTAATAATGATAATGCTAAATAATTGGATTAAATATTAGATGAAGATGAGGAAGATGAAGATGATGATCTACCATAAAATTAATAAATATAATGAGTTTGAAAATATATAGGTTGTTAAATGAAAAAAATTAATGAAGACAATAATAATTAAACTTATTCAAATATATTTTAGAGATTATATATATTTATATTGTTATTACTATGTCTAATAATTTATTGATATATAATTATTCTTCATATTTAATTTTATAGACATGAATAAAGTTGCTAATGAAGTGTCATTTTGATTAGAATGTTTATATTTATGCCATTTATTGTAAAATTGTGTTATATTAATGCATGATTCAAATAAGCATTGTATCAAAAAATAAAAAATTAATATTATAAAGTGAATGAAACCTTGTTAACTTCCAGATGACATAATTTAACATTATTCAAATTTCCGTAATAAAAAAAGCAAATTGAAGGTGAGTACTATTTTAGGTTCAAGATTTGAGATTGATGATAAATATGAAATCTTAGACAATAGTATAATTATTGTATTATCTGACTAGTTGGTTAAGGAGCATATGGTATAGTTGTAGCAGCAAGAGATAATACATTAGATGCTGAAGATAATTTAGTTGCAATAAAAAAGATTGAAAAAGCTTTCGAACATAAAATATTTACTAAGAGAACTTTAAGAGAATTGCGTCTACTACGATTATTATAACATGAAAATGTATATAACGATTATATTTAGATTATTGGAATCAATACAATACTACTTCCAAAATCAAGAGAAGAATTTGAAGACATGTATAAATTAAAATGATTTAGTTACGTTGTTCAAGAATTGATGGAAACAGATTTAGCCTAAATTATTAAGTCAGACTAAAATCTTGCAGATGAACATTGTTAATTTTTCCTTTATCAATTACTAAGAGGTCTTAAATATATACATTCTGCAAATGTAGTACATAGAGACTTAAAACCACGTAATTTATTAGTTAACAGTAATTGCGATCTAAAGATTTGTGATTTTGGATTAGCAAGAGCTTTAATACCTGATTTAAAAGTAAAATTTACAAATTATATCAACTCTAGGCAAAAGCAGGTGTTTTAACTGATTATGTTGCTACTAGATGGTATAGAGCTCCAGAATTATTATTATCATGGAGAAATTATACATAAAGTGTAGATGTTTGGTCTGTTGGTTGTATTTTTGCAGAATTGTTAAGACGAAAACCTTTTTTACCTGGAATGGATACAAAAAATCAAATAGAATTGACATTTGAAGTAATTGGTACTCCATCTGAATAAGAATTGAATATGATTCCTAAAGAAAAATATAGAACTATTGCAAAAGGACTTCCTAAAAGACCAGGAAAAGATTTTAATAAATTATTTCCAAATGCTTCTAATCTTGCTATTGATTTATTGAAAAGCTTACTAACTTTTGATGCTAAAAAAAGAATAACAGTTGAGGATGCTTTAAAACATCCTTATTTATCTGCTTTACATTGTCCTGATGATGAAGTATATATTAATATATAATAATTTATAGCCTATTGCAGTTCCAGTATAAAGAATAGATTTCGAATTTGAGGAGTATAATATGACACTTCAATAACTAAAAGGTATTATATTAAAATATAATAGATTGTATTTATGAGGAAATCTTGATATATCACTTCAAAGAATTCAAAGATGAGTATGAGACCAAAAAGCGAAATTCTTCATCCATCATAAATCATATAATAAAAAATGAAAACTCAAAAATAATAGATCCAGATGCTGATGATGATGACAACGATTCAGATGAAGAACCAATTTGATAAATATAATTAAATATATGGCAAAAAAATCCTAACCATAAGTGGATTTATCTTGGGTAGTCCCTAATGCATTGTGCTGGCAAGATCTTGACAATAAGGATCCTATGTTTTCACCAGCTGTCGTAATAAGTTCAGATGGCAAAATAATCACAATTAAGTTGGAATCTGGTGGAT